GGCTGCCGTGTGGATGGCACACTCCCTTATTATTTTACGTTATCTTTCATTTCCACGCTCCTCCACCTCACTACTTGGTGCTTTCCCATTTCAGCAATCCATTAATTTTCAGATTTTATTGAGTAGTTTTCTCACCAAACGCCAAAACCATAGAGTTAGTGGAAGATTTTTGAAACCTTATCCGTTTTAACCTTTAACTCATAAAACTGGGTAATAAATTTTTTTTTTTTGAGTGTGAGAGTGCTGAGACTGAGTAAAGGATTAATTAGAACCCCTGCAACTACCAAGACTCGAACACAAGCACCTAGAAAGAAAGAAAAGCCTTAATTCTCAAATTTCAGCCACTAATGCCATTAAGAGCATCAATATAAAATTGGGTAATTGGGTCCTTTACCATTTAAAACTTCACAATATAGACCTTATCTCTGTGAGTACCATTAGTTAACTCAGACAAAAATGATACAAAATCTTTACATTAGGTTAAGACAGTCTATGTAGTAATTAAGATAGTATGTGGAATTAGATTCTTTGGGGCAAGAAAATGCTACGATCTTTCGGATAAAAATGAACTATAAGCCAAATGTGTGGGTATATGTTTCCACTCCAAAGAGAACAAATGTTGCATCCCTGTGTGGATTCTCTGAGTTAATTGTTATGATCTTCCGTTAAACAAAACCCACGGAGAAGTAGGAATATGCAAAGATTTAAAGGGCTGAGAATCCAATTGCTTACTTTTATTAATGGTTGAGGATGGCTTTGCTTGCAAACATAAGGTTGAGAACTAAAATAATTTATTTGTAGTACTATACTAATTATAGTAATATTTAAATTTAAAGTACCATAAGAAGCTCAAAGCGCAATGAGTTGGGCATATGGAGTACCGAGTACCTTTGCGTTTGCTAAGTATTTTGCTTATATTTCCAACAATGATTTCATTTGGTTTCTTGTCCATTTGGAGAAGAACAAGAAAAAAAAAAATCAATGGCTAAATTAAAAATTCTTGGTTAATAGCAGGTAAGTAAATTAAATTTTTTTTTTTTTGAGGATAAGTAAATTAAATTTTTTTAAATGTATTAAATTAACATAAAAATATATATTTAAAATTATTAAAAAATTTAATTTTAAAATACACATAAATCAACTTAAAGATACTTGTACCCAAAAAAAAATCTACTATCATATCATATGACAATATTTATTTCAAATTAATAAGAAATAGATAAATTCATTAATTTTATTGAATATATTCCTTGGTGAGTTGTAAAATTTTCATTCATTCCCGATGTACTATCCTATAACGCAACGGAATTTCCTCGTTAGTGGTCCGAGATGGGCTGACTTAGAAACAAGTAATTAATGTTTCTGAAGTTGAAGTCCACTATGGTTTTTTTCCTTTCAGCCACTTGATAATGAATGAATTTTTCTAAGTCATGTCTTTACGATATAGGTTAAAAGATATAATTGATAATTTTTTATAATTAATTTATATAAAAAGAGTATATATTAATTTTTTGATAATGAATGAATTTTTCTAAGTCATGTCTTTACGATATAGGTTAAAAGATATAATTGATAATTTTTTATAATTAATTTATATTAAAAAAGTATATATTAATTTTAAATTAATTAATTATCAAAATCATTCACGTATCAATAATATTAAAATAAATATTAAATAATATAATTTTTAGATAAATTAATTACAAAAATATATTTATTATACTCTTAATCTATACTCTTAATCTATACTTTTAAAATACATGTTAGATAAAACCTTAATGAAATAATTCACGGCAACTATATATATATATATTTTTTCATTTTGCATATATTTAAGAAATCTAAAATCCCCGAAAATGGAAAAACTAAGAAATTTGGAGAAAAGTAAGTAGTTATCCACGCTTAAACTAAGAATTCTCTAAACGAATTACATGTACACATGGCCTCTTGGACTACGCAACTTATTTGGTTATATATTTACATAGAACTTTTTGCCTATAAATGAATGCGGAATTTTGCATATATAGTGTTTGAGGTGGGCAGAGAACATATTTATGGGTTGGGGGAAATTTTTCTATATAATGGAATATGACGTCAATACTATTTCTGTTTGTTGATAAAACGATACATTAATATATGTGACTCTCATTTATAATTAAAAAATTAATTTATCATAATTTATTAATTATCTAATTATAAGTAAGAATTACAAACAATGACATGTTAATACATTAATAATGCCACTAACATAGTATTCCAGTCATAAAGAAAAAATTTGAGTTGATCAAAAGACTTGAAGTGATGGATCTTGGTCACATTCCCATAAATGGTATGTGCACGGTTAGATTTAGTGCGATCCACCAAACATTGTACTACTAGATGTCTATCAATCTGAATGTCCATTACAATAATCACATTCCCC